GCCTTGAGAGGGCAGGAGGCTAGGAGGGCTCTGCCTCAGTGGAGGTTTGGTGGGGCCAGGCCTGCAGGGGGCGCACCCTGTGCCTGGCAGCTCCTGAGCACAAGGCAGACATGGTTCTGCCTCCTTCCCCAGGAGCCGCTGCGAAGATTAACCAGCCTTCAGGAGCCTTGGGTAAAGATGGTACCAGGCCCTTGTAGTAGATCATGCAGAGCATTTTCAAACGTTTGTGATATTGGGGCGCCTGCCTGGCTCTGTCGATAGAGCACGCAGCTCTTCATCTTAGGTGCCTAGTGCAGGCCCCACATCGAGCTCGGAGCCTAATGTGAATAAATAAGCAAGAAAACATTTGTGCCATCCTCTCTACCTGCTGGGAAACTACTGACCCCTGGGCAAACCAGAGGGCATAGCCCACCTGCCTCCCCTGAGTCGCTGCCAGAGACTGGTGTCGCTTCAGCCTCTCATCTCCCTCCCCCCGACCCCCCCGGCCCCGGTACCCTTGTCCCCACCTTGTCTCCTCTGCCCAGATCCTTGCTCACCTGTGGCATCTCGGCTATTCACCGGAGGACATCATTGGCAACATTTTCCGAGTGTGTAAAACCTTCCAGATGGCAGAGTACTTGAAGCTGGAGTTCATCAAGGTCAGTGAGAGGACTCTCCCGGGGACATGGGCCAAGCCCTGGTCTCTTCGTCTCATTCATGGGCCTGGCCCTGGAAGGTGCGCAGCGAAGGTCTCAACCACGGCAGAGGCAGGGGTCCAGGAGATGGTTGAAGCCTGTCCCGCCAGCCAGCGACCTAAGGTTCCTTAGGGTGGCTCTTCATTCAAGAATGATTTGTTTCCATTTATCCTTAAGGTCAGGGTAACTGAGGTATAATTTACATAGAGCACAGTGAGCCTCCTGGGTGCCTTCTCTTGACAAAAGTGTTCATCCCACAGCTCTGGGATTCCCTGCCTCCCAAATGCATGTGCCCCTTTGTAGTCAGCTCCTCCTCCAGCATCCAGAAACCATTGATCTATTTTCTGTGTTTCCTCTTTGCAGGGACAGAATCTTCCAGAATGCCCTATACATGGAATCAAGTAGAAGGGAGTCTTTTTTTTTTTTTGAGAGAGAGACTGTGAGCGGAAAGGGAGCAGATGGGGGGGAGAGAGAGAATCCCAAGCAGGCTCCACACTCATTGCAGAGCCTGATGCAGGGCTCAATCCCAGGACCCTGGGATCATGACTGAGCCACCTAAGTGCCCCTACCCCCTTTATCTACCTACCTATTTATTTATAGGGAGCCTTTGAGTCTGGCTGCTTCTACTTTGCTTAATGCATTTAGGATTTGTTCACGCTTTTGAGTCTGTTGGTGGGTCATTCCTTTCATTGCTGAGCAGTGCTCCACGGTACGGACGCACTGCATTTGCATGTTCCCCCGTTGAAGGATATTTGGGTGTCTGGGTTTTGGGGACTCCAAATAAGGCCACTGTAAACATTTGTGTGCATGAATTAGTGGGAAGGTGAATGTAAATTTTTATTTTTGTGAGGTAACTTCCCAGGAGCTGAGATCTCTTGTTGTCATGGTAAGGGCATGTTTAACTTTTCAAGAAACTGCCCAGATGACCTCCAAAGTGACTGGGGTATTTTGCATTTCTACCAGCAGCGTGAGTGTTCTAGATTATCCACCGCCTGGCCGCCATTCAGGATGTTCGGTTGATATTTTCTAAAGCCGTTCTAATAGGTGTGTAGTAGCATCTGGTTGGAGCTTTAATGTGTATTTCCCAGTAACTGGTGATGTCCAGTCCTTTTGCGTGTTTTGATCTGCCTTCCATCATCTTCAAGGAAGCATCTGTTCAAGTCTACCACTTTTTTAATTGGGTCGTTTTCTTGTTCTTGAGTTTTGAGAGTTATTTACATATTCTAGCTACAAGTCCTTTATCAGATGCTTGTTCTATAAATATTTTAATATTTTCTCCAAGCCTGGCTTTTTTTTCCCCCCTTAATAGTATCTTACAAGGAAATATCTCAGTATCCTCTTAGAAACAAATAAACCGAGCTTTAAATATAACCCATTATGACTGAGAGTTTATTTCCCAGCGGGAGTGTGAGTTCATTGCATCAAGTTTAAGTAAACTATTAGTTCAAGTTTAAGAAAAACAGAAAGCGCTCCTCACGTATTAACCAGATTTACATTTGCTTTGCTTTTCAGGAAATTGGATACACTCACATGAAAATAGCAGAAGGCGTGAACTCGCTTCTGCAGATGACAGGGCTCCTGGCCAGGCTGTGTCAGAAGACAATGGCCCCGGTGGCCAGTTAGGGCGGAGTACTCATCGGATCTGATGACACGGTAATTAGCGCCTTCGGATTTGGAAAAAAAATGCTGCCTTAGACCAGCATGGGGACGTGCCTTCTTTTCACACAGCCGTGGCCTTCACCTTCACGCGACTTCCATAAGTGTTTGCGCTCAGCCTCAGACTTATGGGTGTGGTGACAGATGGAAAGGCCCCAGAGAACCCCCAAAGGCCATGGCACCCGGTCTGGGCCTGTGTGGCATTTCAGCTCCTAAAAAAGCTGTACCGGGCACCTGGGGGACTCAGTGGGTTGAGCATCAGACTCTTGATCTCGGCTCAGGTCATGATCTCGTGGTTCATGAGATCGAGCCCTAAATGGGGCTCTGTGCTGATGGCGTGGAGCCTGCTTGGGATTCTCTCCCCGCCGCCCCCACTCTCTCTGTCCCACCCTCGCTCATGTGCTCTGTCTCTCTCCAAATAAATAGACATTAAAAAAAAAAAAAAAAACATACAGTTTTATCAGCAGTAAGGTGGTAACACGAGGCCACCAGGAAAACCGGCTTCCTGTCTCTGCCCCTAGCATCCTTCAAGTAGGAAAGGTGATGTAGGTGACAGACTGATCAAGCTAATCTCAGTCCTCAGTTCATGGGGTCGGGGCAGGGTTTGCATAATTTACTATTTCGATAGACATCTCAGAAGAGCCTGGGTCAGGGAGCCCTTCAGCAGGACGGGCAGCAATCACGGGACGGTGTTCCAGGCCGTGCATGCTGCTTAGAACTCCCCAGGGAGTTTTATAATCATTTGGGTGACTGCTCCCTGCCCCCCCGCCCCGTGAGGTAGTTTTTTTCTTCATTTTTAAAAAATTATTTAAAAATCTCAATTGTACATAAAAAGGAGAAAGGACGATACAATGAGCATCCCATCTCCACCACCCATCTTAACCCATGGCCGTTCTGCTGTCCTCTGCGTTGCCACCACCCTCCCCCATTCCGGTTGTTCTGAAGCAAATCCCTGATGTTGTGTTACAGGGGTGGGGGACCCCAGCTCCGGTGACCGGTGGGCTCATGTGAAAGCTTTCATTGAAAACAGTTGTGGGTGGGGGTGCCTGTGTGGCTCGGTCAATTTAAACGTCCGACTTTGGCTCAGGTCATGATCTCACGGTTCCTGAGTTCAACGCGGGCTCTGTGCCGACAGCTCAGAGCCTGGAGCTTACTTCAGATTCTGGGTCTCCCTCTCTTTGCCCTTCCCTCACTCAGTTCTCTCTCAAAGAGAGAGAGAGAGAGAGGCAGAGCGTGAGCAGGGGAGGGGCAGAGAGAAAGGGAGACCCAGAATCCGAAGCAGGCTCCAGGCTCTGAGCTGTCAGCACAGAGCCCGACGTGGGCCTCAAACTCATGAACTGTGAGATCATAACTTGAGCTGAAGTTGGATGTAAATTTCTTTCTTTTTTTTTTTTTTAAAGAAAAAGAAAACTGTGGGGCGCCCGGGTGGCTCAGTCGGTTAAGCATCCAACTTTGGCTCAGGTCATGATCTCATGGTTCGAGCCCTGCATCGGGCTCTGTGCTGACAGCTCAGAGCCCGGAGCCTATTTGATTCTGTGTCTCCCTCTCTCTCTGACCCTCCCCTGCTCATGCTGTCTCTCTCTCTCTCTCTCTCTCTCTCTCTCTCTCTCTCAGAAATTAAAAAAAAAAAAAATTAAAAGATTTTTAAAAGAAAACTGCTGTGTGCCATGCTGGCTCCTGCCCCGTGGGCTCGTGGACAGAGGGTCCCAGAAGCTCGCCTTGTGTCCCTGCTGCCGCAGATAACGCAGATGGCACTGGAACAGCCAGGGAAGCCCATGCGCCTTTCCTTAAATCCTCTCCCAACCCAGGTTTAGCCCCAGCAGCTCTAGAGCCCCCTTCCACTCTGCCATCCCTCCCAGGCAGGCCTGGTCACCTGCCCAGGCCACATTGTTGGGTGGGGACACTAAACCAACACAGGAAGGGCTCCCAGATAACTGGCTCTTGGGGTCAGGGCTTCAATTAGAGTTAAGGTCCTCGAGACAGACTGGGTGGCTCGGTCAGTTAAGCGTCTGACTTCGGCTCAGGTCATGATCTCACGGTTCGTGGGTTCAAGCCCCACGTCGGGCTCTGTGCTGACAGCTCAGAGCCTGGAGCCTGCTTTGGATTCTGTGTCTCCCTCTCTCTCTGCCCCTTCCTCACTTGTACTCTCTCTTCTCTCAAAAATAAACAAACATTTAAAATTTAAAAAAATAATAAGAGTTAAGGTCCTCAACCTGCAAGGTGAGGTTTTATAGAAGCATAGTTTCCTCATCGTGTTTTTCACCTGGAGCGTCTGTGGTCCTGGAGAGGTTTGCAGGGGGGACCCAGGGCCCAGAGGCATCTGTCCCCCACCCGCAGCCTGGAGCCCCACCGCAGCCCTGCCGCTCCCCACTCCATCTGTGCCTGTGGGATCAGGACTCCTCGGTGGGAAGTAACAAGTGGCCAACAATTGTGTCATTTCCCCTCCTTATCTCCCGACCTGTGGCATTAACTTACGGAAAGAGGACTGGGCCCTGGGACCAGGTTCCTGTCCCCAGCACGCCTCCCCCCCCCCCCCCCCCCCCCCCCCCCCCCCCCCCCCCCGCCCCGCCTTCAGCCTTGGGGAAGGTCCCTTTCCATTAAGCAAGAGGCTTGACTTTCACGCCCTTAGAAGGTTTTGCATGAAGCAGAGAGAGCAGACATGAGAATTGCTACTTTTAAATGAAAATGCTCTATTGAGATGTTTCAGTTGAAGGAAGCATCTTGTTTCTCTGGCTGTGGCTTTTCTGACTCAGAAGGTCCCTTTGGGCCCCTGCCATTCCCAGGAGACGGCTGTGTTTCTGCTCAGTGAGCTCAGCCGAGGCCGGTCCCGGAGCAGGGAGGACTTCCGGGCAACCGAGGGACACCCCTCGGCCGCTGCGCGCCGCCCCTTCTCCACAGTCATGATGCACTTTGTCCACGGCAGACGTTCCCACTGGCGGGCACGAAGTTGCCTGTAGCCTCATGTCTTCCTGGTGGACTGAGGCCCAGAGAAAGGGGTGCTGGGGCTCACCCTAACTCTGCTGACATTACGTGTAATGCTTCTAGGGGGCGGGATAGACCCGAATCTCTACCCAGAGATGTAGATTATTAAATATGGCTCCGCCTATATAAATTAACTGTACAAGCTTCTGGACCATGAGAAAGATCCCAGCACCCGACATCAGTCAGTAATTTGGGACCTGAATCCAAAGCAGAAAAGCACAGGGGTACCAGCGAGGCACGGTGTTTTAGACGTGGGGATGCAACTTGCCCTGAATCTTGGATGTCCGATGGCAGCAGGAGCTCTGGGCTCCTGCAGAAGCTGGGTGGGCAGGGGTGCGGGGAGGGGGTGGTAATTACACCTGTAACTGTCCTTTCCCCACTGTCCCCCGTGACCCGGCCGATGGTCCTCAGACATCAGCGATTCTCCTGGGAGTAACCTTGGGGAGTCCAGCGGTTGGGCAAGTCAAGAGAAGTGACCTCTGGGGACACAGTAAAGAGTCCTCTGAGCTTGGTGGCTCCCTCGGCTCCTTGAACGAAGATGAAAAGGTTTGTTAAAAGGAAAAGGGTTGCCTCGACAGCACTCTGTTCCCTGCGCACCAGGATGGCTGGGTCAGGGTCAGGGTCAGGGTCAGGAGGTGTGGCGATGGTCAGTGGCCAGCCACCTTCCTACAGCGAGGCTGAGAAGTGGGCCTGCCCATCAAGCTGCCTTCCTTCCCTTTGAAATCCTGCCTGTGCTCATTGACCCCGGCTGGGCTGGGGCTAATCTGTACCAGGGATGCCCTCTGCCGCGACCCACGCTCACCTTCAAGGCCGCGTCCTCTCCCGTCCCACCCAGAACGACCTGCCAGGGGCGCCTGCTCTAACTCAGCCCTGCTTCTGCCTTGCCTGGCAGCCCTTCTACTTATTCAAATCCAGAGATCGCGTCACTCCAGCCTCCATCAGGCCACTGTGGCCGCTGGCCGCGGAGTGTGGCCCCCTGTGTGGACAGGAGGCAGGACACAAAGGCCCTGATCGGCCGTAGCCAGACCCCAAGCTTGAGTCTGCTCTGTCATTTCTGCCACCCTATGTCCCACGGTCATTTCTTTCAGCTCAGAAACCTGCACAGCCACTCTGGCTCCTGCCCCATGTCTCTGCTTCTCGGCTCCCACCTCTCAAGTGGAACTTCTAGAACATTCTCCACTCCCTATCTTGAGACTCCCGTGTTCTGAATTCAAGAACCGCACCTAATCTCCCACCACCAGTGCCCATCAGTGCTTGGTGAGTCTCCGCTTGTCTTGTGCCTTCTCACACCCTCCCGAAGTGCTTTCTGGGGCCCAGGACACTGGCCTCCGCTGCTCCCATCTCCCAGCCTGGGGCCAGGGGGCAGAGCTCAGGGCCGGCTCCCCTCTCAGCCTCGCTATCCCTGGTGACAGTTGTGCTGTCAATGACGATACCCCACATCTGTCTCCAGCCTGGCCTCTCCCTGACCCAGGCTCAGCTCTGTACCTGCCCACACTGCCCGCATGGGCACCTCCAGCCTAACAGGACTGGAAATAAGCCGGTCTTGCCCACAAGACTTGCTCTGCCTGCAGCCTCCCCACACCTCAGCTGAGAACAGTGACAGCCTCTTGTTGCTCAGGGGAACACCTGCCGCCCCCCGCTCCTCTTTACCCGGCGCCCCCACACCCAATGCATCAATGAGTCATGTCGGCTCCGCCTTCAAAACCTGCTCTCGTTTTAGATGTAACAAATACAGAACATTCCATTCAAAACCAACAGAATACACATCCTTTTCGAGTGCATGTGGGACATCCTTCAGCACAAACCACATGCTAGGCCACCTGAGATCATACCGCGTGCCTTTCCAGCCACAACGGTGTGAGGCCGGAAACCAAGCACAGGAAAAACCAGGGAAAACAAGCATGTGGAAGCAACATAGGATGCTAACCAGTGGGGTCAACAAAGCCATCCAAGAGATTTTGCAAATTCATGAAGACTGGGGCACCAGGGTGGCTCCATCAGTTGAGCATCTAACTCTTGATTTTGACTCAGGTCACCATCTCACGGTCGTGAGTTCGAGCCCCAAGTCAGGCTCTGCACTAACCTGATTTGGATTCTTTCTCTCTCCCTCTCTGTCCCTCCCCTGCTCACACTCTCTCAAAATAAATTAAAAAGATAAAAATAAAAATGCATGGAGACAGGGGCGCCTAGCTGACTCGGAAGAGCGAGCGACTCTGGATCTTGGGATCCTGAGTTGGAACCCCACGTTGGGTGCAGAGCTTAGTTAAAAATGAATAAACTTGGGGCGCCTGGGTGGCTCAGTCGGTTGAGCGACCGACTTCTGCTCAGGTCATGATCTTGCAGTTCTTAGGTTCGAGCCCCACGTGGGGGCTCTGTGCTGACAGCTCAGAGCCTGGAGCCTGTTTCGGATTCTGTGTCTCCCTCTCACTCTGCCCCTCCCCTGCTTGTACTCTCTCTCAAAAATAAATAAGCATATAAGTTTTTTTTTTAAAAATTAATAAACTTAAAAAAATCTAAAACAAAACCAAACCCTATTCATGTTTGCCTTCACCCTGGGCCAGGACGTCACCTTTTGCCTGGATTCTCCCTGGCTTCCGAGCACCCACACACACACCTCACTGCCACCTGAATTCCATTCGCTCCTCAGCATCCAGGGATCCTGTTCATCCCCCAGGCCACACCATCTTCCATCTCAGAGAACCAGGTGCCGGCCTCGCTCTGTGCCTCCCACTGTGGTCAGACCCTCTGGGGCGCTGCTGCCCCCCTGCAAATCTTTCCGCCAGGCCAGTGGGGCGAGGAAGGAGCCCACGGCCGCCTTGCCCCTCCCCTCCCCAGTCGCAGGACCACAGGGCTTATCAGCCCCTAACATGCCACCTCCTATCCTCTCGGCCTGCAACCATCTGTGAAATCTCTCCCACTAGTGTAAGTCCTGAACGGTCAGGGATTTGGGTGGACTTTTATTCCCTAAAGGTTTTATTTTTAAGTAGGGGCGCCTGGGTGGCTCAGTCAGTTAAGCGTCCAACTCTTGATCTCGGCTCAGGTCATGATCTCACACTTTCTGAGTTTCAGCCCCATGTCAGGCTCAGCACTGACAGTGTGGAACCCGCTTGGGATTCTCTCTCTCTCTCTCTCTCTCTGCCTCTCCTCTGCTCATGCCCTCTCTCTGAAGAATAAAGAAATTAATTTTTTAAAACTTTTAAAAATTTATTTTTAAGTAATCTCTACACCCCACATAGGGCTCGAACTCACAACCCCGAGATCAAGAGTTGCACACTCCACCAATTGAGCCAACCGTGTACCCATGAGTGGATTTTGTTTATGACTATCCCCCAGCAGTTAAGGCTGACTTGTCCGCGGCAGGTGCCAGAAGATACGGTTGGGGGAGGGGCAGTGAGTGAGCGGTGGGCTCAGCTCGTGGGCTCAGCTTCTACGGCCCAGCCTGTTGTGGGTGCTCTAACAGCCCAGGAGCCCCCCGCTGACAGCCACCAGCCCCTGGGTGAAGACTGAGGGCACTCTGGGGTCTGTCCTGCCTCCCACGCAGTGGCAGGGCCACTCCAAGTGGGACCCGGGGCAGTGACCGAGCTCTCTGTGCCTTCGGGGCACCACGAGAGGGCGTGCATGAGCATTCGGCCCCACGTGGGCTGACGAAGCGGGCTCTCTGCACGGTCCAGCCACGACTGTCATGGGCACTGTCATCTGTCTCCAGGTCCCACCCCTGTCCCTCTGTCCTTCACACGCTGCGTTCCATTTGCACCGTTTTGCCAGTGAGGAAGTAGTCCCAAAAGGTTAAGTCACTCGCTCAGGGTTTCAGAGACCCATCGTCAGTCCACCCCTTCACCCCACAACTCTCCAGCCTCCTGGGCCTGACCCCCCACAATGGCCTGAGATCCTTGTGCCTGACGTGGGAGCCGGGCGCGGGGTGGGCACGGGCTGCTCAGAGGCCCGGCACTCAGAGCACTGTCCCAATGCGCGACAGAGCCCCCCACTTCAGTGCCCATGGGTGCCGCCCCTCGACCCCATCCGGGACCCCCATGTGGCTCCCCCAGGCCTGTGAGGCATCGGGGAGAAGGGGCCACACCTACCTTCCAGGTCCTCACTAGGCTTCTGTGGCCGCCACGCTCTCATTCACGTAATCAGGCTCCTCGTCTGGGCTTCCTGCCAGCGACAGGGGCGCGTCCCTCTGGCCTTGCTCTGCGGACCAGCGGGCAGAGGGCTGGCGGTGGTCAGATGGCTCCCGCGGCTATCCCCCCACCCCCCAGCCAGAGGCTTGGGCCCAGACCCCCGGCAGCTGCAAAACAGCCTCCGGGAAACGCCACATTGAACAGTGGGTGTCGGTCTCACATCGGGGGTTGGGGGGCGGCTGACAGGGTTCAAGGCAACTGCGGCCACCGATGGGCCAGAGGCTTCCCCGTGCAGTCAGCGACGGGGCCCTCCCCGCCTGGCCCTCCCGGGTCAGACCCCCAACTCTCCCTCCCTCTCCCCGACCCCCACCCCGCACCGTCCCCCCGACCCTCCCAGGCCAGGCCCCCCGCCCCAGGCCTGCTGAAGCCGACCCTTGGGGCCCCCGCCCTCCGGCCACGTACCCAGCACCCTCCTGGACTCCCGCCACTGCCAGATGGATGCTGAGTTCTGATAGTCCTCGGAGCCTTCGTCCCCTGCAGGGAGACACCGAGACAGGGCTGGCCCGGTGGGGCAGCCACCGCGGCCAGTAGGCAGGGCAGCAAGCTGCCCTGGCTCCTCGGGGGAGGCATCCCGGGCCCTGTGCGGGGCAGTCCCTCAGGGAAGGAAGGGGTCCTCTCCCTCCATCTCGCTAAGGCGGGACCCCCACGCTCTCCTCCAGGCCTCGAGCAACACTTTATCCAAACACAGGGGAGCTGACAGTGAACCTTCCGGCTTCGAGGCAGCGGGTGCCTTGGAGCAAGGGGCCTCGGCTCTCTGCTGAGGGGGTGAGCCTCCCTGCCCGGCTCCGGGGACCCACGGGCCTCCCTGCCCAGCAATGGGGACCCGCAATCTCACCTGACTCGGTGTCCTTCTGCTTGCAGATGAGCACGTTCTCATACGAATTGGTGTCATCATCGTCTGTGGGTGGGGGGCGGGGGGGGGTTGTGCGAGGGGACAGGGCTCTGGTTGCTGGTGGCCCTACTCCGCCAGCCTGGCTCTTCCTCCCTCCCTCCCTCCCTCCATCCTGCCTTCCCTCCCTAGGTAGGGACCTGTCCTGCCAAACCCTCAGCCCTCTGGGCGCCTCTGGGGCCTCTGAACATTCTGGACCAGCGTCTTAACTGACACTGGGCTGCCTTCAGCATCTGCCAACCTGGGCTCCTTCATTGTCTTCCGAGGTCACCCCCAAAAGCACTGGGGAGGGGAGAGTAGGGCCCAGGCTGCAATCAGGCAGTTGGCTAGTTGGCAGGGGGAGGCCACGGAGGGGCAGGGTCCAGGCCTAGGCTGGTCCTGAAGCAGTACCTCGGGGCGGGGCAGGGCAACCTCAGCCTATCGGAGCCTGGCTCAGGGCCCCAGTCAAGGGGGAGCTGAACTCTAACTGCTGCCTCACCCCTGCATCCATCTGTGTCAAAGGGGCTCCAAGAGAGGAGGGCCCCTCCCTTACTCAGAATGGGGGGCATAGGGGGGTGAAGACCCTCCTTTCTGCCCACCACGCGCCCCACCCCCCAGCCTAGCACGGCGAGGCAAGAGCCAGGCTCAAGCCCCAGACCTGGGCACCTGTCAGCAGGCACTGCCCACCCTCAGGCCTCAGTTTCTTCTCCTGCAAACCCAAGGTGGTAAGGGCCCAAGAATCGGGCATCCTCAGAGGCTGCAGGGCTCAGGACGCCCCCCCCCCACCCAGGGCTTTCCTCTGGGGTCCCATGTGTGGCCATCAGTTGCTGCCCGGTCCTGAGGGGGCCTGCATGACGGGGCTCAGTTGCCCCCGCTACCCCTGCCCCCAGCGACCCCCTCTGGTTCCCTCAGCTCCGTGGCCTGCCACCCTCTCCCCTCTCTGCCTCCCACACATCCCTTCCCTACTCCACTCCTGGGCTCTCGCCCCCCAAGCTCCCCACTCTGCCACCTGGCCGGACCCAGGCCCAGCCTCCGCCTCTGCATCCTTCCCACCCTGCCTCTGGCCCCGGGAATGTGGCTTCCAAGGTGTTCCCCCTCCCCCTTTCCCCCTCTTCCGCCTCACCTTCCGAGGGCTTCTGGAACTGGCCCCAGTTGTAATAGTCCGAAGTGAGGGGGTCTCTGGCAAGGAAACACAGACCCGGGCCGGTTGCTGGGTAGGCCAGTGGTTGGGGCAGGGGCGTCGTGGGGGACAGAGAGGCCAGGGCTGCTCCAGTGTACTGTCCCCACAGGGGCTCCTCCCTGGTCCCTCCGGCCCTGGGCCACCCAGCCTGGCTCCAGCCATCTCGACTTGTCCGTCTTCCCTGGGCCGCAGTTTGCCCATCTGTGAGAGGAAGAGGCGGCCCTGCGGGCACTCCCTCTCCGGGGTTTGCGGACTTGTCTCTAAGTGATGCGGGTTGAGTCCCCCAGACTAACCCTCCCTAGAGCAGGGCCCTGTCCCCATCCCCACAAGGCCGTGGCCACCTGAGGGGCAGTGGTGCTGTGAGAGCCTGCCTGGGCCAGTGCTTTCCCGGGCAGGAAGCCTTCCTTAAGGGGGGAGCTCAAAGCAGGGGTGGGTGGGGGCGGGGATGAGGGCCCAGAGCCCGCAGAAGACCACTCACATGTAGGCCCCATGGGATTCCCGTCTGCTGCCTGCAGGAGGAGGTGACAGTTAGGCCTGGGCCCCGGGGGCTGTGGGCCCCACCGCAGCCCCCGCCTCCCAGGATCCCACCCACCTTTGCTGAAGTCCTCCAGGTACCTAGAGGACGCGGAATCTGGAAGAAAGGCCAGGCCGGGCTCATGGCTTCCTCCCGCCCCCAAGGACGTGTTCCAGATCTAGGTGTTTCCTACCTTCGTAGCTTTGCACCTGCTCTCCGTCCCCTCCCCCCAGGCCTCCCGGCCCAGCACCTGGGGGGGGGGCCCTCACCACTTGCGTCTCAGTCCCCCTCCCCCATCTCAGCCCCCCTCCCCCACCCCATGTCTCAGTCCCCCTCCCCCCACCCCATGTCTCAGTCCCCCTCCCCCCCACTCAGTCCCCCTCTCCCCCAAGTCTCAGCCCCCTCTTCACCCCTGCCCCCACCCGTGTCTAAGAGCCACTCACCCTCGACGCTGGGGGAGAACCGCAGAAGCTTGTCCTTCCTGCAGGAAAGGGGGAAGGGAGGGGCTGAGGAGGACTTGGGGTTTGTGAACCACAGGCCCATGGCCCCTCTCGCAGGGCCCTCAGAAGCCGCCTCCGGGGCTCTGAGGTTCGAGGAGGGAGCGAGGTCTTGGCCTGAGCTCAGCCAGGTGGGGACCCCAGGACCCTCCTTCCCGTCGCCTCCTATGGGGATGTGACCCCTCGAGGCCTGGGGAAGGGGGCTTATGCCTACCTTGTCGGCGCCACGTCGGAGGCTGTGTCCAGCAGGGGCCCGGGCCACGGCTGCCTGACCACTGCAAAGGGCAAGGAGGCGTTGGCTGGACCCCCAGACCAGCCGGCCAGCACTGGCCCCTCGCTCCGCCAGGTCAGGCCTGGCCACCACCTCAGCACGATGGGGACAGGTATGGCCCCCCCAACCCCGAGCCCAGTCCCCCCCGGGCCTCCGGTTTGGGGACTCACAGGAATACGTCCGGGCCACCGAAAAGTTCTGTGGGTTCTCTTCCCTGGAAACACACGGAGCTGTGCTGAGCCAGCGCATGGCCTCCCACAGCCCAAGGGACAGAGGGACGGGAAAGACGGACGGACTGGGGCGAGGAACGGAGAGGGGCGGGACAGACCAGGGTGCGAGTGATCCACGACTCCCCGATGCCCGCATTCTCTGGACTGCTCCGCAGCCCTGCCCACCGGCTGTCCGCCCCTCTTGCACAGCCCCGGGCTAGAGCCAGGGGCCTCCCCGGCCTCCCCAGGAAGCCCGGAGACGGGCAGGAGGGTCTGTGGACAGGGCCGGGGAGGCGGCCCTGAGATTCTGAGGCGAGGGTCAGGCGGCTCTTCAGGGATCTCAACCAGCAGTAACTTCAGCCCATTTTGAGATGTTCAAACATTACATTTGCTCCCAAATACCCGGTGAGGTAACTTCGAAGCTAGACAAGCAGGTGCAGGTCCGGCTATCACCCATGTCCCCTTCTCTCTTTGAAATGGATCCCTGATTTTTATGGAGGCCCATCTAAAAGACCGTATTTCCCAGCCTCTCTCGTCCCTAAGTGTGGCCCTGTGATCCAGCCCTAGTCGATGAAATGCAAGCCAAGGTTGGTGGGACTTCCAGGAAAACAGCTTTAAAGGAGGCACTGCCAACAGGGCTGCACCCTTTTTATCCTGCTCCTTCCTTCTTATTACTGCCTGGAACACAGCGATGAGGGCTGGAGCTCCAGCTGCCGTTTTGGGTCATGAAGTTCCCTGGAGAGTGGAAGCCACCACTAAGGATGGGAGGGCAGATTAGCTGAACATTCAGCCTTTTGGGTTCCTCCTCTGGACTGGAATGGGTACCTGGCCCAGCCTTCCAGGAGCTCCTGGACAGCCAAGGGGTCAGGGTGACCTGATTTAGGAGGGATGTCCTAAATCCACAGGACTTCCATATGGCTTCCCACGGGAGCTGGGCCTGGGCAGGAAGGAACCCAACTGAAGTGGGTTCACCTCCTCCCGTCCAGGCCCAGTTTCCCATTTCCCACAGCGACGAAGAAGTTTCACTTCTGACTCTAACTCAGTCAGGGGCCCTGAGTGGGCAGGCACTGAGAGAGGAAGGGAGAGGCAGAGGCGGAGGCAGCCTGCCTCAGGGCAGGGGTGTGGGAGGCACCAGGGGGAGCCCAGGCCCTCCACCCCAACCCCCTGTGGAGCTTGTGGGCTGGAGATGCAGAGGAACAAGTGGTCAAAAAAAGGCTGGAAAAGTCTAGCCCTGGCCCCCGGGGGGGCGGGGGTGGGTGGGAGGGGAGAGCATGGATGGGGAAACTTTGTTTTCAAATTTCATTGCGGTTTTTCAGTTGCAAAAGGAAATGAGAAAGGGTGTGTGTGTTCGGACGGGAGTTCCTTCCCCCTGGCGCGCACACAGGGCCGCATGTGCAAGAAGCACATGCATGAGCAAGAATGTGGGGAGCACGTAGGCGTGAATGGGCACGCCAGCCCGTGCACGTGTGTGCACGCAGGTCTCAGAGCCCCTCAGACCTGTCTGTCACTTTCCCGCTTGGTTAAGGACACCAGTGGCCCCTGCCCTCCTGACCGGGGTTGTCCTTGGGCCACACCCACTGGGCCTGGGGCCAGTGACCCGGTTGCGCACTCCCTCCCCTCCCCACGCCCCTTCCCCCCCCATCCCCCTCCCTGCTTCCAGCTCCTCTGTGGCTCCCCTGGGTCCTCAGGACAAAGGCAGCTCCTCTCGTCTCTCAAGCCATGCCTGTACCTGCCACCTCATCCCCAGAAGACTGTGTCCACCCCAGTCCTCTGTCGGCAACTGGCCGCACTGTTCTGTCTCTGGAATGTCCCCTTTTGCCTTCTTTCTTCAAATCCTCCCCACCTCCCCCGCCAGGCCTCTCGATCCCCTCAGGCCACGCCAACATCCTCCAGGAGCTTGGAGCTCTGTTGGCATTTTGGTTTTTTTTTCCAGGGGAGACTCGCACCTGCACCCGGCTGGTGCTTTGTGCCCAGTCTCTGTTCCCCATGTGGCCCAGCACCAGCACAGCGGGCTCCCTAGGGCTGGGGGCCAGGGGAGGAGCTCTGGGGATGCAGGCTCTCCCTCCTCTCAAGGACCCCAGGGCAGGGCGACAGCCCCTGGGCGCCCCTCCCTCTCTCCCTGGACAGCTCAGGACCCGCTGGAGGAAGTAGACAGGAAGGGATGAGGGAAGTGGGGGTGGACACCCGAGGGGACGCCCATGTGGATGCCCACAGCCAGGGTACTCCAAGTCACTGGGCCGGGGACACCTAAGTACTCACAGGCTCCTCTGCTCGTAGATTTTCTCCGACTTCTTCACAGCTGCAAGAACAAGACCAGATTAGCAGGTGCCCCAATGCCAAGGTGGGCACTGAGCTCCGAGGTCCCCCTCCTGTCTCCCCTGTGCCCTGGGCAGGCCCCAGATGGGACATGGGGGCCAGCCTGCCAGTCACTGTGGGCCACCTGTCACTGACTCGGTGTCTGCTCACGATCTGTTTAGGAGAGCAGAGCGTGGAGATGGACGCTGCTGGCAGCATGGCACACCCCCCACCCTTTTCCCAGAGCATCCCCTGCCCCAGACCCCTTGACCCAGCACAACCAAAGCCCCACAGTGAGCCAGCCTCGTCATCTTCGGGGATGGTTTAGGGTTTCATCCCTGCCTCGTGCAACCTGTCTTTCAGTCCACCCACTGCAGCCAGGTGTGGGTCCGCCCCTGTCCCCCACCGCGCCGTTACCTGGCCGGGAGCAGCGCACGCACAGGCCGGCCACCGTCCCCAGCAGCAGCAGCAGGGCCGCCCCCGGCCACAGCAGCTCGGCGTCCACGTTCATGTCCGCTCCTAGCCACGTGTCCTGCAGGGCTGCAACATGGGTCATCCTGTGACCGCCCCTCCGGGGTCCCGCCCAGCCCCACACCCTCGGGTTTCCAGCCTCCCTGTCCCCCAACAGCCCCACAGCTGAGCCCTGGCCCTGGGAGCACCGGCTCCCCTCCCTGCTCTGGGAACTGGTCAGGCTGGAAGGAGCCCTCCTCCCTCATCTGATCCTGATCCCGCACCTCTGGCCCTGAGGGCCATCACCAACACTTGATAACTGCTGGAAGGTTCTGGGGACCAGACAGCACCATGTGCATGTGCCCAATACACGCCTTGACTTAATCCACACAGCTGCCCTCCCAACATTTACAAATACAGAAACTGAGGCTGGAGGCGCGCCTGGGTTGAGTGTCCGACTTTGGCTCAGGTCATGATCTCATGTTGAGCCAGACTTTGGGATCTGTGCTGACAGCTCGGAGCCTGGAGCCTGTTTTCGATTCTCTGTCTCCCTCTCTCTCTGCCCCTTCCTCACTCCTGCTCTGTCTTTCTCAGAAATGAATAAACATAGAAAGGAAGGAAGGAAGGAAGGAAGGAAGGAAGGAAGGAAGGAAGGAAGGAAGGAAGGAAGGGAAAGAAAGGGAGAAAGAGAAAGAAGAAAAGGAAGGAAGAAAAAGAAGAAGAAAAAAAGGAGGGAAGGCAAGAAAAAAAAGAAAAGAAAGAAAGGAAAGGAAGGAAGAAAGAAAAGATAAAAGAAAAAAACTGAGGCTGGAGATTCCAGCTGCAAAGTAAAAAGACAGGATTCAAACTACAGCCTCGGGGCCCTGACTCTGGCTGTGCTCACACCATGCTGTTGCCTCTTGCAACCCCAGCTTTGCTGGTCAGTGGCCCCCACCCACCCCAGGGCGTTTATCCGCCTCTATCAGGAGTGGGATCTCCTTTCCACAAGCACCGAGGGGGGCCTGGGAGCATAAGGGGTAGAAGGGTGCTCTGGGCAGAGAGGCCTGGCGGCGTGGATCCCGCCTGGGTGGCCCAAGGCCACTGCTTGGTGAGTGGCGGGTCCGCAGAGCCACGCTGGGATTGCCAGTCCCCCGGGAAGCCACAGGCAGCCACACACCAGGGCCGGAAGTGCAGGTCCAGCCCCGCTGGGGGGTCTTGGAGAAGAATCCTTGCGAGTGTAGAGACAGTCTCCCGGCAGTGGCCAGGGACACAGCCGAGGGCGACAGGGGACCCCCGGGGGGCCCTGCCCCAGGGCAGGCACGTGGGGCCCACACCCCTCAGGGCCCACCCAACGCACACCTGTTTTTCCTGCCTGGGCCACCGGGGAGGAGGGCTTCTCCCCACTTTACAGCTGGGGAAGGCGAGGCTGGGGAGGAAGCGGAGCTCCGTACTGCCCAGCTCCTGCCGTGGGCTCCCCGAGGCCTGTGCTGCCCCTGCAGCCTGTGGGCCCCTTCACCTCCCTGAGTCCTTGTGGCAAAAATGACAAGGAACCTCCACGCAGCCCTGAGCCTTTGTCGGGGTCTCACGGAGAAGCCACGTCTCCTTCCCCAAACGCGGAGGGAGTCAGTGGGAACACGAGCGCTGCCAAACCTCATGACGGGATGGCCCCTGTCCCCTCCGGAATGCTGTCTGCATTGAGCTCCGTCCTCCCTCCGGGCCAGCACATCCTCCTCCTTCCCTCCCCCGCTCCCCGGGGCCGCCCCAGGGCACTTCAGGCTGTGCGGCTGGGAGCTCCTGGTGGTGGAGGGAGGACTCCAGCTTGGGCCTCGGAGTCTCCTGGCCTCTATGGGGATCAACCCCAGTGCCTTCCTCAAAGAACTTCTGGCAGATGAGAAACGGCCCGGCTCAGTGGCGGGGCTCCCGGAAGAGAACGTGCTCAGGATCTTATTTCTGGCTGGCTGGTTTCACGGCCCAGCGGCAGTGGAGACCCCAGGGCCTGGCCTGCTGGCCTCTGGGGCCGTCCAGGGGACAGGGATCCTCCATCACGAGACAGCCCTCTTGCTTCTTGGACCCAGTTCTCCTGGGACAAGCAATGGGGGGGCGGCAGGGGTGGGGGACCTGCTCCCGGTCCACCCGCCACGGGGAGGGGGAAGGGAGGGGAGCCCGAGAACACAGTGTCTGCGTCTGCTGACACCAGGCAGCCCCTCTACAACAAGGGAAATAATGACACATCCTTCGGGTTTGTCTGGTGAGGCCCAGCACCGAGAGGGTGCGCGGAGGTGCTAGTGTGGAGCCTGGCGGACACGGCTGGCTGACAACATGACCCGCCATCATCAGGGTCCCCGTGGAATGGGGAGGGGCAGCCCCAGCCTTTTGGGTGCAGGGGTGTAGCAGTGAATAGTGCAGGCTAACCCCACCAGAACCGTCCCGCCCGGTCCCCCAGACTCACAGGCCCGAGCCTCCCTCCACCGCCCCACGCAGGCCACCCCAGCCCCTCGGGTGCCGCAGATACGCCAGGTGTCACGTGGGAGATGCCAGCCCCCTTCATCCAAGGGAGGAGAGGGAGGCCCGGAGAGGCGGGCACTTTGTCCAGTCTCCCCCAGCTAGCCCGTCACAGAGCCAGGGTCCCAGCTCAGGCCCAGGGGACTCAAGGCCTCGCTCCTTTACCCCTTTCTTATAAATCCATTTTTAAGAATCAGATGTTTTTTTCAAAGAGAGGCCAGTGTGAGACGAACGTTAGTGGCGGCCGCCAGACTGAGATCTGCCCTCCGGCTGGGCTTTCCCACCCTGCTGATGAGGGCTGGGGGAGGAGGCTGAGCCCCCAGGAGAGGCAGGCCCAGGGGCCCCAGGAGGGCCCCAAGGGGCAGGCAGCGCCGGGCGGGGTGGGGTGGCGAGGCGGCCCGTGGCCGCAGGCTGCAGGCCAAAATAGCACAAGGGGAAGTGCGCAGTTTTCAGATGAACAAGGTTTGCAACAGCCCTCGGTGGGAAAACCCTCGGGGCTGGGCCCGCCAAGCCCGGGGTCCGAGCCTCAGGAGGTCTCCCAGCCCACCTCCTGCCGGAGATGGGGAAACTGAGGCCTACTGGGGCCGCAGGGCAGGCTAGGGGGGCAGGAGTGGATCGAGAGATTCGGATCTGGGTCCTGGGAAGGCCTTATCCGCTAGGCTGTGCTCTGATGTCTGTTCCCTTTTCCCATGTAATCTCGGCCTTCAGACAAGGCCGACTCGGGGGGCCTCTAACCTAACTGAGGCTTGTGATGCTCAGGCGGCCGGTGTGGGAGTCCAGGTGGCCCTTGTCCGGGGGCAGAGGTGGGGGATGGCGATGGCCAAGGTCAAGACAGAGGGGGATCGTGATAGAGCCGGTGTGCCAGGCTGGGGGCTGGATGGGGGCAGCGGTGGGAGGGCGGCTTCCATCTAGCCTGAGGCAGACCCCGGACACCCTTCCCTGTGGAGTGTCACCCGTCCTCCCAGAGCCCGGTGGCAGGGATGCCACAGTCCCATTTTACAGATGAAGAAACCGGGGCTCGCGGGCCTGGCCCCTCACCGGTCTCTGGAGTGGGCTGTGGAAGGCGAGGCCAGGAAGGTGGCCAGAACAGGCTGCCCCTGGGTGCCACAGGGTTCCCGACAGAGCACTTCTGAGACAGGGGCGCCAGGGCAGGACCAGGGCCCTGTGTCCCGGCTTCTTCCCACCCCAGCCGGTGGTCAACCCTCCCAGCACTCCCGCTGGGCCATCCGCCCCCATGGGGAGTCAGCCTCGAGACCCCTGACCCTGGGCCAGGCTCCGGGTGCTCCTGGGAAAGACTCACCTGAGAGCTGGGGGCTCCTCAGTGCGGCCACCTCATCCTGAGCCCACACACCTGCCCGAGCTGACGCTAACGGCACAGCCACCGGAGGGCAGCAGGCAAGGCAGCGAGCGGGCTTCCTGTCAGCCCCTGAATCACCCTCACACATCCGCTGCTCTGCCGGACAGGCTCTGTTGTCACCAGACAGAGACACAGAGACACCCGCAGAGACAGGGAGAGAGACAGGCGCCAACAGACACCCAGAGAGTGCGCACATACGCGCACACACACGCAAGCACACTAAATACACCCATGTAAACCCAAGTCACAGAGAGGAAGAGACATACACCGAGGGACTAGGAGAAAGAGAAGGAAGTGGGGTGCCCACCCCACAGGCAACCAGAGAGTAGGAAGATATGGAAAGCCACACACTAAAAACCCACATAAACACACACACACACACACACACACACACACACACCCCTCGAGAGGGAGCAGCACACAAAAAAGGCAGGCAGAGAAAGAATGAGAAAGACACACGCATGCGTACAGTGTCCTTTCTCCTCTGGAGATGGGCTGAGCCTGAGCCTGAGATGGACCGACAGACACAGACACACAAGACAGAGACCTGCAGACTCTCAGAGATGGACAGAGGGAGTGAGAGCGAGAGAGAGAGAGACACGCAGGGAGCAAGAGTCGCAGGGAATGAGACAGGCACTCACATGCTCACAGCTATGCATGCTCGCACGGAACATGGGACAGAGGGACGCACAGTAGGTGCGCGCCGGGCAGACTGAACGGCACTTCAGCCAGCCCCCCGCAGGCGTCAGAGGGAGCAGGACAGGGAGGCGAGCTGAAGGACAGAGAGGGAGACGATCCAGGAGCCAGGGCTCACTGTCCCCCACCCCCACCCGGGTTCCCGGGGACCCCTCCCGTGGCTGCTGCTCCTTTGCCTACACCCCATCCACGTCAGGGACTCCGCACTGGCTCCTGGGGGACCCATAAATGTGTGGATCGCTTGGGTGCCCCCTGTTACTGGGCATTAAGCAACTTGGCTAAGGCCATGGAACTCGAAGTGGTACCCCACTCCCAGGAGACCCCAGGGAAACCCACCAGGGTCCCCAGCCTGTTAGTCTATAATGTCAGAGCCCCAGTCTCTGGTCCCAGGGGCCCCTTTTGGCAGGAGACTGGGTTTCTTTTTCGGGGTGGCCAGGGCTCAGGCAGGAGGCCCAGCCACAAAGGCAAGAGCAGGCCGGGGTCTGCCCGCGGCTGCCACCCTGTGGAGGAGATGGGTAGTGCATCGACCAAGCCTTGATGTGGGAGATCCTGGGAGGGGGGTCTCAGAGAGCTTGTCCCCCATCCCGGGGCACGGTGGCGTTGGACAAATGCCAAGTCCGTCTGACTCCCAGAACCGTGCCTGTGGAGGCACTACCATACTCTCTTATTCCCCGCCGGGCAATGCTGCATGTCCCTTTTCTTACACAGGTCAGAAGACTGGAGGCCCATGGAAGGTATGGTGGATTTGAACCCAGACCCCAGTCTCCAGTCTGTTGTCTTCCCAGCACCCACAAGTGCAGGGAGGTAGGCGGTGTGCGCCAGCAGCCCTCTGTGCTGGGCCCACCTGCCTAAGCCCCACTCAGATGACAAGGGACAAGCTGGTGTTGGTATGCATGGATCCTGGACTGTGCACCTGCCCAGGGTCTCTGGCTGGCAGAGGGGGACAGAACCTCATACGTCCAATGGGAAGGAGCTGTCAGCCTACATGCCCGGCTTCTGTCTCAGGCCTTAGCAATAGCAGAAGTGACCTCCAACTGCTGGTAAGGTGTCAAGGTCAATCTGCAGTGGGACCTAGACCTCAGACCCCCTGTGAGCCCATTTTTTCTTTCTTTTCTAAAGTTTATTTATTTTTTGAGAGAGAGAGAGAGAGACAGTGTGAGCAGGAGAGGGACAGAGGGAGACACAGAATCTGAAGCAGGCTCCAGGCTCTGAGCTGTCAGCACAGACAGACACAGACACAGATTCTGATGTAGGGTTTGAACCCACGGACCGTGACATCATGACCTGAGCCAAAGTCAGATGCTTAACCGACTGAGCCACCCAGGCGCCCCTCTAAAGTTTATTTTGTGAGAGGGAGAGAGCACAAGCAGGGAAGGGGGAGAGAGAGAGAGAAGGAGGGAGAGAGAATCCCAAGCAGACTGAACCACCAACGCAGAGTATGATAGAAGGCTCAAACTCTCAAACCGTCAAGATCATGACCTAAGCCAAAGTTGGAGGCTTAACGGACTGAGCCACCCAGGCGCTCTTGATGCATTTTCCATCAATGACAGGGGACAGTCACTGCAAAGACCCCTCCTGCACATGAGTGGAAAAAGGATGCTGTCCCTTTTCTAGGGAGTTCCCAAATGCCTCCGAGTTCTATTTTATTTACAAACCACTGAATTGTGAAATCAAAAAATAAGCTTTGAAAAACTAGACAGTTCATGTCCGGTTGTGTAAGTTCTAATAAGGTTTTTAATTTTTTTTTGTAATTCCGTGGTTTTTTTTGTATATTACCCTAAAAAACTGACCATTTAAACCACTTGTAAGTGTGTGACTCAGCATTACACTCACAATGTCGTAAATTTCCGTCACTCCAGACATGTGGCTTTTCAGTCCCCGGAGCCCAGACTACGTGCTGTGTGTTTGCTACACAATCAAGATAACCAGGTAGTAACGTAGCAACTCAAAACCCTTGACAGTTCCATGCTGAGAAGCTTCTGGGGTCATACATATCTTTTTAAACATTTTAAATGAGAGAGAGGAGACCGTGCCACTGTCACTGTCAGAGAGAGGGGGAGACGCAGAACGTGAAGCAGGCTCCAGGCTCTGAGCTGTCAGCACAGAGCCCGATGTGGGGCTCGAACCCCAGAACCGTGAGATTATGACCTGAGTTGAAGTTGGACGCTTAACCGACTGAGCCCCCCAGGTGCCCCTGGGGTCATGCAGATCTTAACCGCTGATGGGAAGCTATGGATTTTCCACAGAAAAAACACCCTGAGAAGTGTGTATGACATTTCAGAAACCCCTGGGGCTGGCATGTCCACCACCCCCAAGCCTTAAGGTGCAAATGAGCCTCCCTTCCACTCCTCCTCCCCAGACTTCTACTCCTGGCTGTGAACTCACTCCGCAAAGGCACCGACTCTCATTCTTCTGCCTCCCCCAACCGGCTTTGCTCTGCCACCCACAAGCACTTCTGAAGGGTCTCGTATCTGACAAAGTCCCACTGCGGTCTGTCCACACCCGGGCCTAGTTTCCGTCTATCATGTCGTGACCCCCACTACACATTGTGTGTGCATACAGTTCATTCTGTTGCACATACCTGGGAGGGGAAAAGTCATGTAACACGCAAGTTAGTTCCCTGAGCGGCTGCCCGCTCATCCGGAAGACACGAGAGGCCACGCTCTCTAGCAACTGGCTTATCAGTTCGTGACGTGCATCACATGAATGGGGCGCATGACAGTATTTCTCCTTTGCCAGGAGTCCTGATTCACGATGCCAGGACTGCTGGTGGGGCCAAGCCCCATTTTTTGGCCTTATTTCCTCTTTTATGAAATACCTGTTAACACCTTCCTTCTCTATTGGTGTTTTCTCTTGACAGTTTGCAGGAATTCTTTAAATATATATATTAAGGGGTGCCTGGGTGGCTCAGTCGGTTAAGTGTCCGACTGGCTCAGGTCATGATCTCACGGTTCGTGGGTTCAGGCCCCATGTTGGGATCTGTGCTGACAGCTCAGAGCCTGGAGACTGTTTCGGATTCTGTGTCTCCCTCTCTCTGACCCTCCCCTGCTCGTGCTCTCTGTCTCTCAGAAATAAATAAAACATTAAAAAATGTATATATTAAAATTTTAAAAATTTATTTACTGATAGAATGAGCGAGTGAGGACGTGCAAGCCAGAGAGGGGCCGAGAGGGAATCCCAAGCAGGCCCCATACTGGCAGCGCAGAGTCTAACGCGGGGCTCGAACTTACAAACCGTGAGATCATGACCTGACCTGAAACCTGAGTCTGACACTTCACTGACTGAAACCCCCAGGCGCCCCTGCCGGCATTCTTTACATACCCCTCATCTTTTCTGTTTGTTTTTAACCTTTTTCCATTTTATTTACATTTTGATAGAATACTTTTAAAAAATCTGGTGAGCACAGTCTTCACGTCGAGTATAACGCATGTGAGAAAGGCCTCTACGAATTCTAAGGCATGTTGGTGCTATTTACAGAGTCTCTGGCTATCTGAAAAGCTTCTCTGATTTCCCTCCCTCGCAATCCCGTTCAGAGAGAAGCTGCTAGGCCACTAATAATTTTATGAACGTTGACCTGGTCTCTGACAGTGAACAAAAGAATGGGAACAGGAAACAATCCTCTCTAGTGCCCAAACGGAATGCAAAAGAGGCCGCCATGGCGAAACAGTTTTTGCTTTTATTGGCGTGTCTGGGATCGTACACTGAGGCTGGTTACAGAGGGGGGGAGAGACTAGGAGAAGGTTCTGATTAAGTTCACAGTCTTCAGCATTTCGGTTCACGTTCATGACAACAAACTGCAAAGGAAGCCTCTCCGATGGATGCGTTACAAGCCCGTTAGCTTCATGTGAGTATCAAACATCTCCCCATTGTCAGATCGCCCAAGGAAGCACAAAGGACAGACCGAAGCTCTTCACCAAAACGATGGACAGATGCAGGGAGGCCCAGGCTGGACGGTCCCAAGGAAGCACGTGGCGCCCAGCCCCGGCACCCGGCCACCCGCGGTTTCCCTGCAGCGCTGTGGTTTCCCGGCTGTTTGCCCGCCTGGCGAACCGGGTGTGGGGAGCGTAGGGCAGATAAGTGACGGCCACCTGTGAGTATCGTGAACTGCTGTCCTGTACGGGGGATCCTTTAGACAGGCCAGGATGAGACACCCTGCCCGCCTCCCCTCTTGACTTCCCGGAGAGAGACCTGGAGAGAGAAGTCCACTGGGCAAGACCCAGCCAGTTCCCAGCCAGACCGAGGGGCCGCACGCATGGCCCCGGGCCCTGGCAGGTCCTGCTGCGGTTAGCATTCAAAGAACCAAGCTTGCACAGGCTAGCAGCCCCCCACGACCTCAGGAGCCATGAGGAATCCAAGAAGGGGGCGGAGGGAAACAACCGAGTATTGTAGGTACTACTCGTGAAAAGAACTGATTATAGGGCAGGCTTTAAAAGAAACAGGGGTGTCTGGCTGGCTCAGTTGGTAGAATATGTGACTCTTGATCCCAGGGTTGTAAGTTCAAGCCCCACACTGGGCACTGTTTCTCTTCTTCTTCTTTTTTTAAGTAAACTCCCAGGCGTGAGCCTCGGTTGGGGCCGGAGCACTGCCTCACCACCGGGCAGGAGCTGCTTTATAGGTTACTGGTAGCGGGCTCCTCTTGTTCTCCACGCTTCCCTACAAGTAACCTCGTTCGACAAGCAAACCGGGCCATTCCTTAGAAATCTTGAGTGGGGTGTGGATGCCAGGCAGTAAGTCCAGTATCTCCCTCCTCTACCCTCCTGAGCTCTTCCTCTTGGCCTCAGGCTAAGAACTCCCAGAGGAAAGAAGACCTGGGAGTCAGGAAGGGCAGCCCGGGCTCTGGAAGTTGGCTGTGCGAACTTCTCTGCTGAGACCTGGAGAGATGATCTGGGACCCCGACAGAATGGACTCGGAGGTAAGAACATTCCTAGAAACCCGAGCCCTTTATTAAAAGGGCCTGGCTTGGCACTCCGTTAGATTGTGTTTCTCCGAAGGCAGTTCAAGAATAGCGGGGGAGGGGGGGTGCAGAGAGAAACCAGGCATCGACTTCCGTCTGAACTAAACCTAGATCCAGAACATTCACAGTTGGTGCAAACTTTTATGAGCCTATTTACTTAGGTGCTTATTTGGGGGAAAGACATGCCCTCCTCTCTTAATTCAGTCACTTATGGACGGGAGGCAGGTATTAAAAGGCCTTCTGTCATATCTGGCGTACAAGAGTACTACAGGCCAAGGAACAGTGCCTGTCGAGAAGAGTGCCCACTGCAAAGTTACAGTGACGTCTGGGGGGAGGCAGGGAGAAGGGTCTGGGGAGACCCAGGTGACCCCCCTTCAAGGCTCTGAAGGCTCTGCAGACCCTCTGAAGATGGGATCCAAGAGACCTTTGGTAAGAAGCTTCATCACGGGCACCTGGGTCAGTTAAGCATCTGATCTCAGCTCAGAAATGACCCCTCGACTTGGGAACTCAAGCCCCAAGCTGGGTGACCCCCGATTCTCTCTCTCCCTCTCTCTGCCCTTTGCTCACTTGCACCCTTCTCTCTCTCAAAAAAAAAAAAAAAAAAATTAAAACAAAAAAGAAAAGCACAACAACATAAGAAGCCTTATCGAGAGGACTTCAAGCGTGGCCACCAGTCCAACTCCACAGGGGGCAGAGAGTTTTCAGTCCAGGGACCAGCCCCCATACAGAAAACAGGGGCAAACGGCGCGTCCTCTCCTCCAGTCTCGGCCGGGGAGCTGTCCACATAAGGGTCCCGTGTCCAGGAACCAGGATAGCCCGTTAGTAAGCTGCCATCGAGGCTCCCCTCACAGTAAACAAATCCTACACGTGCCTGGCCCTCCTCCGCCCTCCCCACCCCCAACACAGGGCCCAAACCACACAGCAGTGTCTCCCCAAAACCCAAAACTGCTTGCCACTAAGTAGCACCCACCATGGTCAAAAAGAGCACCTAGAACTTCTGCTAAAAGTAAGTTTTTTTTTTTTTTAAATGTTTATTTTTGAGAGCGAGAGGGCGAGCAAGCGAGCAAGCATGTGTGCATGCAAAAGTAGGGGAGGGGCAGAGGGAGGGAGACACAGGATCCAAAGTGGGCTCCATGCGGACAGCAGAGAGCCTTATGTGGGGCTCGAACTTGTGAACCACAAGATCATGACCTGACTTAAGTCAGATGCTTAACCGATGGGACCACCCAGGCACCCAAGATCAGCACTTATTAAAAGCATGCACACGTTGTGCCAACACCTGACTTCTTCCTTTTCAGAAAGAAAGTCCCTTTTCCCAATCAAAACCTACGGCCACATGCATGCAAGGCCTCTGTTCAGAAAATTGCCATTTTCAGGAAATGAGAGAATAAAAAAGGGGAGGGGGCAGGAAAACCTGGGCGTCCTATTTCTAATCGTCACTAGCTTTTAAATCACTTCCGCTAATCCTGTAACTTCCAGAGCAAGATGCTTCTCTCCCACAGCTGCAGTCCATTCTACCTCATGTGGACGCCAATTCCCCAATTTAATACAGGTGTGAGCTTCACGTAAGAGCAGCTAGAAAGAAGTCAAAAATAAAGGCGAGCGTTAAATATTACGTAAGGTTTTCTTTTATTTAAAAGATCATTCACAAAATACCATATCCATAGATTTACTTTCTGTCATATAGCTGAATGTGTTAAGTGTTTGGAATTCCATTCTTACATTTAAAAGTCAACGGGGATTGCCCAGAGGTTTAGATGAATTTTTGTTCTTAATCTTTTCCACATTGAAGGTGTAAGTAGGTCATCTCAAAGCATCAGGTTTGATCACAACCACACAATGCATGTCTCTCATAAGTGAAGTATTGGTGTTACACAAATGGTTCTTATTTAGGAAGCAGAGGCGGCAGGTGAAGGAGGGAAAGGAGACAGAGTTCTGTAGTTGCTGAGGCCCTGGGGCTAAGACACAGTGAGAGAAGCCAAGGACGCCAGCTAGTGACGACGACCCCCTAAGCATGCCGCTGTGCCGGCCAGGTGACCGGGCGGCCCTCCGGTCCCACTGGCTGGTCTCTTCCCCGGGCTCTGGCTGCTGGCGGGCCCCGAACTGCTCCCCACGGGACGGTCCGAGACTCGCTGAAGGACCCAGATTGTTCTTTCTCTCTCACACACCACAGACACACACGCGCGCACACGCGCGTTCAAGCTCAGAAGCCACGGCCCAGCCCCCTGGCCCTGGGTACGTGCCAATCACAGCATGTGGGAACAGGCAACTGTGCACCAAAGAGGACCTGGGGACTCACAGCCGCCTACCAGCTCCCTGAAGGCTCTGACAGCTCTGCAGAGTAAAATCCTCAATTCATCAAGAGAAACAGTAAAGTGCCAGATTTGAGGCCCGTTTCCATTATAAAAGTCAGGGAGGGTGGGAAGCGCAGTATCTCACGGTTACTTGCGCCAAGGAGCAGACAGGGAGATAGGGACACACAGGGACACACATACACAACCGGGGTCTGAGGAGAGGCAGGGGGAGCACAGCCCGGGCGCAGCGCGGCCACCACCGCCCCAGTCCTCCCGGAGCCCCCAGCTGAGCCGGCGAGGGCTGCGTGCACGCTGTGCTGACACAGCGGTCCCAGGGAGGCGCTGGGCTCGCCCGGCCGCTCACGCTACCGCCCCCTTTCTCTTAGACTCCCACCTTTGAAAGGAAAGCCTCTTCTGCTCGAATGATCCATTCGGGGAGGGAGCGACAGAGACAGGGCTGCTTATAAATAGGGACAGGGAGGAATTTGCAAGATCAACAGATATTTTATCCTTGTTTTGAAAACAAGGTGCCTCGAATTCTGTCTGTGGATCACAGCTGAATAAAAACAAGATGCTATCCAATTTGTGACTTCTTTCCCTTTTTTTTTTGTTTTGTTTTGTTTTTTATTCCTTCCCTTGGAAGCCACAGCAATACAGAACTCAACATGCAGGTCAGAAGAGAAGCACTGAGAAAAATCAAAGAAACCACCAGGTCTGGCCAGTGTGTCCAAAGTAAAAAGAGAAAAGGAGGAGAAAAATGGAGCAGCACCTCTATCCTAAGAACGCCCGCAGGTGGCTGCCTCTGTCCCTTGAGAGAAACTCATGGACTGGAAGGAAACAAGGAGCAAGAAGGAAAAAGGACAGAAGGAAAATGGGGAAGGACTAGCAGAGAAAAGAAAAAAATAAAAACAAAAACAAAACACAAAGCAGGCACTAGATCGGTTCAGCAAAGCCAAGAATGTACTAAAAACCACTTGTTAACTGCTGACATGCACTCACAAGCTCTGTGTTTCCGGTGTAAGAAAGGAGGACAAAGGCCAGGCGCAGGAATGGTGACCGCGGGCCCGCCGGTGCAGGGGGCTAGCCAGGCTGTGGTCTTGCTGTGGCCCTCCCCCACGCCCCATTCCCTCCCAGCGGCGGGCTCACTCCTGCTCCTTGTGCACGACTTCCTCCCTGGGCCGGGCCCCCCCGAAGATGGCGGAGTTGGGATTGGCTACTTGATTGAGCGGCGTGGCAACCGTTCGAGGCTTCAGCTGGAGCCGCGGCCTCTGTGCTCTTTCCTCTGCGGGAGAGAAACCGACGTGCTTTATGAGAAAAGGACCCCATGTTTCCCGCCCGGGTACAATGATCCACTGAGGCCAGGCCCCCACATGCCAGCCCGTTTTGTAACCATCAAGCCAGCCCTGAAGATCTAGCCCATCCCCAACTCTCTAACAAGGGCCAACCTGTTACTAAAGACGAAGGGGTGGCCGCAGAAGCCACCGTCCATGGCCCGAAAGGGCGCATGTGGGGGGAAGAGCCAGCACCCCAGCGCGAGGACCCCTCCACCCACAGAGCACCACCGTACCTTCTGTTGGTTCTCTGAAGTCCATATTGGACCCTCGAAGGGGAGGGCCATCTCTGAACCGACTCCCCATCGGGGGGCCTGTTCGCCGGTCACCTGGGCGACTCCCTCCCCTGCCTCCTAAGAAGTCGTCCCTGAAGCCTGGAGGAGGAAGAGGACACTGGATTACTTTTTAAGCTACCTCTCAGAGCTGACTGTGCAGCTGGCACGGACTGTTCAATTTCAAATTCTTTAGTCTGCGCAACATCGGAAGTTTTGCAAAACAGAGTGCATGGAGTCCAAGCGTGAATGTGCTGGGCAATTTCAATGCTAACAGACTTTTAACATTTCATAGGAAAGAAAAATAAAAGTGAGCTGTTTAAACCTCAGCTTGCAGGAAAAGTGGCAGAACACCCCCCCCATAACACTATAATTAAGCTTACAAACAAAAATCCTCAAAGCCCATTTTACTGTCTTCTAATATAAACTTCCAATTATTAAAACCATAAACCTGAAATGTAAAAGTTACAATTTAGAACACAACACCCAAGGAAAGCCCAGACACGAAGACAAAATAAAAATACGACGTCACCTCTGGGTGACATTCCACACGGGTTTGTCTCTGGCGCGTGGCAGGCATGCTTGCTCTAAAAGCCCTGTGCGGTCAGCAAGGCAGTTATCAGGCAAGGCTCACCCCCTTCGCAGAGCGGGGCTCGCAGGGGAGTGGAGCACCTCACCCCCAACCTGCACCACCTCCTGTGGCTGCGAGGGGGAGGAGAGGTTTTACTCCCCAGCCCTGCAGGTATCTGCTGGAACGGTCAGCAAGGTAAATCGCGCCTCACGACCACTGTCAGGAGTGTTGTGACTCTCTTCAGTATGGAGAGAAGCCGGTTTTCTCCACAGGATTTGAGAACCCTAAGTTTTCTTCAGTTTTGTATTTCACGGAAGGACCTGCATTTGGAGGGGATTGAGGCTGAGGAGCCTTTGAACACAATCGCCTTGAAAGGAGTGAGCTTCCGGTGAAAAGTTAAGAAATAATACTGTAGTTATATAAGCCAGCCCGACCGCTCTCGGCCCCCAGAGGTGACTACTTTTACTCCAAGGACAGTGCCGGGGCTCAAAGCTCTGGAGGAACGGAAGACCTGTAATCTATGGTGGTCTACCCCACTATTCGCAGATTTCCTATCTGCCAGTCTGTCTACTTGCTCGCCTGTGTCCGCACAGCCCTGCAATCAATTCTCTTGGCCCTTGTGCTTTGCGAAACCTGCAAAGAGCAGTGGAAATCTGAGTCGCCTGTCGTGCGTGTCCGTCAGCTGAGCTCCAACAAAGCAACACTCTGCCTTCTTGTTTCAGCTCAGACCGTAAACAAGTGTCTTTTCAATCTAGTCAGTGCCAGGTTTTTGCTTTTGGGCTTTTCCTTGGCGAGTTCACGGTTTCAAGTGGCCCCGCACATTGCGCCGAAGATGGTCTAGCGTTCCTAAATGCAAGGCGGCGGCCCCATGCCTCACGGAGAAAACACACGTCGGATAAGCTCCCGTGGAGCAGGGTTCTGGTGCTGCTGGCCAGGGGCTCCTTGTCACACAGCTCAACAGTATGCAGGAAATAAGCAGTCTTTAAACAGAAATACATGCAACAAGGTACATACTGACCACCTGACCAACGTATTGTGACCAGAGGCTCACAGGAACCTGACCTTATCGTTTCCCCTAGGAACAATGGTCCGGTATCTGCTAATCTGGTATTCTCAGTGATTTTAAACTTAACTCCCCTAAATATGAAGAATCAAATGTTTGCAAGGGTGGTTATTTTTCTGTTCTTTAAGGGTGGCCGAGGAATTTGGAGACCAAGTTATCTGACACCCAGCTCAGAAACTGGACAATATCAATTTTAACAAGTAATGAAAACAATCTCAAAAAAGATTCAAACCAACAGGAGCATTGGTTTGGGGAAAACATACTGGGATACATATAGTCATATAGTCAGGTAGGGGGTTCTTTATAGAATCTTTTACACCAGAGCTTACACTGTTCGTTAAACAGGCTTAACTGGGATTCAGACATTTGACTGACACTTCCCTGATAAACTGTGAGACGTACCCTTCCACGGGAGTACAAAAGTGACTCCTCTTAGGAGATTAATTTTTGCTACCAGTCTGTAGCAAACATCAATTCACAGCCACACTAACAAGGCAGATAAATGTAACTGCTACCTAGTCCAGGTGCCCCAGATAAAGAAGGAAAAAACCCGGCGCACAGTTACCGTAGGGGGCTGCTCATTTCGAAATCTCCTATGACAGGGACCAGGGGAAGACGACGAGAGAAAAGCAAGGTCTGACATGACCAAGTATCTTTTAAGTTTGAAGACAGGTTTTTAGGAGGCACACTAGAATAATATTCCACTTTTTTTTTTTTTTTTTTTAACAAAGTCTAGTTTAACATATTTGGCTACTTCTGGGGGTGGGACTTTGCTTTCTTCCTTGTATTTTTTGGTACTGCTTGAATCTTTTTTATTCTTGTAATGAGTATATGTCATTTAAACAACAGCACCATTTTGAAGAGTAAAAAAGATCTATTTTCGCCAATAATGTATATAAGTATCCCTCCCCCACGTGGGCACCTCTGCACTAGGACCCCACCAGACACTGCAGTGTACGCTGCGCTTGGTGGGTGGCGAGGTGGTTTCTCTGGCGGTGCTCTCGCGTCAGAGATAAAAGCTGAGCGAAGGCAGCAGCCGCTGTTCCCGAGCCTACACGCCCCAGTGCTATCCTACAGTCCCAGGGAATTCAACACTGGCAGGTCCCAGACCACCACTCATCAGGCCACTATCAGCTGCACTCGATTGACTTTGAGGAAGACATCTGCTGCGTGTTTCAATCAGAGACTAGCTTATACATAAAATTACAGGTTTACCGGATCATACTGTACTTTTATGAATAAGCTCATTTCTGATTGGCTATAGGATTTTTAGGGTTACGTTATTCAACAGATATAAGCAGTCATCTGCTGAACCAAAGTAGTACTGGAAATGACCTAAAAATTTTGGTCAACAGCCTGTGCCAGTTCTTCCCATACTTACCAAACACTATGTGCCGAATTTTGTTTGATGGGGGGTGGGGGAGCACTGATGCTATCCTCTCATACAGCGGAGAGTGCAGAGTTTATAGAAAACAGACTAGTTTCTCATCTTTTACCTTTCTGATGTTTTTTTAAAAATCACATATACAAATTGTTTAAAAAAAAAAAAAAAGTGAAAGAGATGAAGAAGCATTTAGGAGACCAACCCTTCCAAGCAGAGGCCCGACATGCAAACCGACCTCTTGAGGGGAGACAAGGAGGCACCCGGTGGTCGGCTTTGCTAAAAAGGTTTACTTTTACTCTGTTCCTTTTAAGAAAAGGAACAGAGTAGATTGTGTGCACCAAGAAGGGATAGGAGTTCCATGCCCTTCAAGGAAAAAAAACTGGTCACCACAACTTTAACCTTGGAAGAGGGAGCCACCAAGAACCACCGTTCCAAGGCTTCGAAAACCTCCACACTTGCTAGAAGTAACAGTGCCTCTGTTCATACCTTACGCACTAGAGCCCCCACAGGGATTTCTGAGACAAAGGCCAGAGGGGAACTAGAAGCTGAGCATCGTAACAAATGGAGGTGGGGGTCGGTCTAACTCGCCCTGGGTGTGGAACCTCAAGTCCCACCCCAAACACATAGCTCCTGCCAGGCTGACTGCACGCCTGCGCACCTTTCAGGAAGTGTCACTTGCGGAAGGAACTAAAGGAGCAGGCCGCGGCCAGGCGGGCTACTCACAATAAACGTACAACAGCAGCGAGGCCACTGAAAAGGATTAAGTGCTGATACTTTAAATACTGATACCGGAATTGAAGTCATCCCGGGAATCCCATCCACCTCTAGATTCTCGAGAGCCACCCAGTCCTGAGGACACACAAAAAAGATAAAGGTGAAGTCGTACCATTACCCTGCCGCACACACATGGAAAAATTCACTCGGAAGACGGACAACTCATGTGATGAGAAGTTCAAAAGAACTGTAAGAGTTTTTGTTGCCAATAGAAAAACAACGACAACGACAACAACAACAACAACAACAACAAACTCAGGCTTGTGGAAGCACCATCCGTTCTAAGCTTTTTCCACAGTTTTAAAAGCTCACAAACGCCTATCAGGCCGGCAAGATAGTTCTAGTAACCTTCACGGTTGTAACCAGTGGGCGTACAGCAAGTGTTATGTTCAGTTTTAGAAGAACCAATCACCTCTGTCATCTGGTCCACCTTTCCTGAATCCAAAGCCACCTTTGTCTTGTTTTCTGCCCTCTGCAATGTCCACGCGAAGTGACCGATCACCCAACAGCTGGTAAGGGGAAAACAGTGTAAGTACAGGCAAGAAGAACATCTCAACTGTAACACGACACAGAAAACCTGCAGATACTTACTGCACCATCGTACGTCAAGGCTTCCTTAAGAGAATCCACCTCATCAAATTCTACATAGCAGAAACCTGTAAGAGAAACAAGCCCCAATTTCCTCAAGGAATTCTGGGTTAAGACATGGTGGGGTCCCCGTCTGTCCCATGTCCCCCCCTTTTGTTGCATCTAAGGGACGGAAGACTAGTACGGCCTAAAGGAGAGCTTTTACTTTCCAGTCAACAGAAAATACTAGACTGGTATTCCTCCCTCTCAATTATATTCTACCAGAAAGTGCCAACCAGGCACTAAAATGGCAGCTGCGTTTTTATAAAGCTTTGTTTGTAGAAGTTTTAACTGTAATGTTAGAACCTTTCCTGGGCCACGGAAGAACTGACTTCTGAACGACTTTAGCTTCTCCCTTCTCCTCCAGCACTCTTCCCATCCCCTTCCTTGCAGCCCGGAGCCTTCAGCACTGCCCCTGCCCCGCTCTGCTCTGCTCCCACTGCCCCGTGTGCTACACCACACCCTCCCACCACACCCCAGTGGCCCCATCCCACGTGATGCCCACCGTCAAAGCCCGGCAGACCACAGGTGCTCTGAAGGCTCGGGTCCAAACTCTTCCTGTTCACCATTTGCCACCAACGACTTACAAACTAAAACTTGCGTGACCACGTCACCCACCCGTTCCCCTGCTCCCCCAGAAGTCCTAATTCCTAGCGCCTCTAGGGGTTACACTGGGTGGGCCTGACTTTCACAGGCTGGAACGGGAACATTTATTTTCATTGTTGGAGCACTTGTTATAACAAGGCTTCAGGTTCTAAAGCCAAGAATACTTCCAAAAAAAACGATACAAGTGCCTCCTATACACAGAAGTGCTCAGATGAGCGAAACCTCTGCTTCGAAAGCACAGCTCTCTCCTCACTGTAAGTCACTCAGTACTTGTCCTGCATGCTCTTCGGGGTAAACCAAACGCCCTCATACCTCACGCCATGCCCTAAACAGCGAGCACATTTCCCTCGGGGACTCGGGGGAAGCCAGATGAGAACACTCCCATGACTCTTCCTGCTTCCGCCTCCCTGCTCTTGCGCCCTGGAGACACTAATCTCTACACACGAACTTTACCCAAATTTTGAGCCAACCCTCTCCCAGACACATGCTCCCAAGTCACAAAGGTACAGTGACCATATTTATTAGTTTCTCTGTTGAATTCTATGCAAATACTTAGATTACAGGAAAACGACAAAGAAAAAAGCCAGGAGCCGGCCAAGGTGAAATGCACCTGCGAAGTCCTCTGTTCTATCTGTTCATTTCTCTCCTGGGGAACTCCCTTACCGGCAGACAGGACTGCCAGTCAGGCAAAGAGCAGGTTTACTTGGGCATATTTCTGCATATTTCTACAAATAAGATCATATGTAAAACATTTTCCCCCAGCCAGAACTGAATAGCCTTATGGGTTAAATAAAGGGCTATGTTTATGTCAGCTACGTGGACAGGCAAATATTTAAAACACTTTCACAATTAAAGCCCTCTGGTTCCCCAACGTTTGGTTTAGACTCTCCCTCTGAAAGAATATACAGTAAGAATTCCCCCAAACTCACCTTTAAATTTGTCTGTGTCTTTGTCTCTGACTAGCCGTACACTCCTTATGCTGAGATCCTTAAAGATAGCATCTATGTCCCCCTGAACTGTATTAAAAGGTAGATTTCCTACATACGCTGTGTAGGGGGGCTCTGTGGGCAGCTCCTTCTGGCTACGGGAACCATGGCCACCAGCACTGCCGCGGGACCTGGAGGGAAACAGACAGGATTCAAGTCTACTTGCCCCAGGGCGTGGACAAGGACAATGTCTTCCGCTCAGCCTGACGAGTCACGTGAAGCACTCCACTGGACTGTACAATAGTATCTTGAAATTATCAAGAGTACCCCAAAATATCGTTTATGGAAAGGATGCCTATTGTTTGGTGACAGACATGTTCACAGAAGCACAGAATCTATGTAAACAGACATCTCCCTGGAAAATCACATCTGAATAGAACATATCCTTCCCTCCTTGCACAACTGGTCATTTCCTACTTACTTAGACTCAGTATCTGCAAAATGCTCGCATCCAAAAACCTTAGCAAACACCCTCGCTCACACTTGGTAACACTATCGCGTGCAGAAATGGACCGTCCAGACTTCTCATACTGTGTTCACAGGAAGGACTTCTAAAGCTGCTTAAGTTTAACCCATTCATAACATAGTTGCTCCTTGCTACTGTCAGACTGTGGATAATACGAACGGGGGAGGGGCAGGAGGAGGACAGAGGATCTGAAGCAGGCTCTGCATTGAGAGCGAAATCATGATCTGAGCCAAAGTCAGACGCCTAACTGACTGAGCCACCCAGGCACCTCCCCCCCCCCCAAATACTTTCAATAAGATACTCTGAGATTGAATACTGACTATATAAGATACAGTAGAAGCAAACTTTTGGTTGGAAAACTATCAAAACACAGGATGGATTACAATTAATAACTTTAAATTCATTTATTCATGGCATCTGGTGGAAACAGTTCCCAGCCCTCAAGCAGCTCATAGGTGAGTGGCACGTTTAAAAACACAGACAACTACACAGGCACACACTGCATGTGTTTGTGTGTATACGTACGTGTAGATCATAGAAAATGTCTTAGAAATTTAAGGTGAAAGTGAGAATGGGGAGCTGATAAATCCAGCCGGTGTGCATTGGAGGACTCAGGAAAATGGAGGGAGGAAGGCGTGCTCAAACAGCACAGGGAACATTTCCAAGAGCACTTATGCAGGATGCTGGCTGCGGGCGGGGCCAGAAGGTGGGGTCAGGGCTCTGAGTTCAGGCAGCCAGGTGAGCCTGGATAAGGACTGTCGTGGGGGGAGGGCAGAGCCAGTCAGATGGCAGGGCACTAAGAAGAATGCAGCAGGATAAGAAGCAGTTTCCGGCCTTGGAATGATGGCAGAATCCGGTTTCAAGCAGGCAGTATGTAAGAGCTAGACATGTGGAAACAACCAACCCAGCCCATTAACCTGCTAATTTCACCCGAGTCTCACAAAACTGCCAGTGGCTTCCTAGTCCATGTTCTCCCAAGAATCACTGCAGTCACCCTGAATACTGCCCTATCTGATACAGTTCTGCCAGCGCAGCCAGGGCAGTGGGACTCGGACCATCCAGGTAGACTCTAGATTACGGTCTCTGATGACAGTCACAAAGCTAGAAAAGTGGAGTCTCCAGGGTGCCAGCAACTTGCGAGACCAGGGTGGGGACACAAACCCCGGACAGTGCACATGCATGTAGTGAAAGACACATCCAGTCAGCAACCCACCGAAAAAAAACACAAAACGCAAAACACCCAAATGTCAGGAAATTCTGAGCTAAAACTCCTACGATACCTCTGACACTAACTTAAGTTTACAAGGGACTATTATCTAAACAAGCTGTGTTACACAAAAGCACTTTCTAGAACAGGTTAAAAACAACACAGGCAAAGAAGACTTCATTTGACACCTTTGTCAGCTTGGGGTAGGATCTCTTCCAGATGACCTGTCCCTCAGTTTCGTCTGTGACTTCATAATATCTCTAATCTTTATTTTATAAAGCTTAAAGCTGACCATAAAACACCTCATAAATCCTGACTGCTTTATAAAAGTTTAATAACAATTCCCAAGCATCACAGGGAGACTAAGCACGCTCCAGGCGACACCGCTCCGGCAGAAGCGGGTGGACAGGCTGCCGTGGATACAGAGCAGCCGAGCAAAGCAGCAGGTGCAGCAGGCCCACCCCTGCTCAGAAGACTCTGAAGGTCTGTGCTGCAATCCCCCAGGCCGTATCACACCCCCTCCACTCAGAAGCAATCCTTCCAGCTCATTATTGCTTCTGACTATCCCTTAGGGACAGTCCAATGCTTTTTAAAATAACATATGCAAGTTTTAAAGTTTATTTTGAGGCAGAGTGAGAGCAGGGGAGAGGCAGAAAAAAGAATTACAAGCAGGGTCCACACTGCCAGTGCAGAGCCCGATGTGGGGCTCGAACTCACAAACCATGAGATTATGACCTTAGACAAAATCTAGACTCAGACGCTTCACCAACTGAACCACCCAGGCGCTCCAACATATTCAAGTTTTAAAGTAATAAATGACAACCTCAGTAACTTAGGAAATCCAAATTTCAACCAACTATGAACAAAATCCTTTACAGACAAATCACTTTTCTTCACTCATATCATATCCATGAAGTACAGAGTACAGTTACAGAGGACACAAACCTAAGACTCAGTCCCTGTCCTCAAGGTGCTGATAATTCAACTGAGGGGGTCCAGGCATCTAGAAAGGAGAAATCACAGCTCAAAGACTGCAGACAATCTGGGAGACAGCCACAGGGAGCAGTGTCCCCGCGTCCGCAGGGCGGAGCAGCAGGACCTGGGACCCTTGGCGTCCTGCAGCACACAGGGAAACACTGACCTCCTAACAAGGTGGGTTAATTGTGAATAAGCCTGGAAGGCGGGCTGTGGATGAGGAACAAGATAAGACAGCAGAGTATCCTATCAGGGCTGACATCAGATCCTGTAAGCAGATGCCAAGAGAAAAGTGCTCCAGGCTTACTTGCCAAGCATAAAGGATAAGGAAAAAGGAGGGATGCACACTAGCTATTTTCTGGGGAAGGATTTATCAAGACTTCTCTGTGCCACCAGAAGCTACACAGAATTTAAGCCCTGTGCCTGCCACTCTTGAAAAATCAAGACCGAAGTCAAGATACAGAGTATTAATCTTTCTCGGGCATTTGCAACACTAGATGATCTCCTATTGAGTCCAGGTTAAGGACACAGTATCCTTAGGGCTGATCAACAACTCCTTCAGGTCCGTCTCTCAGGTGCCACTCAAAACATACTAGCACACAGTATATTGTCTCACGCGCGACACCACGCTGGATCCTGGATAGAAATCACAGAAAGACTGCCTTTGTAAGAACACAAAGCAAGTAAGCAACAAAGTCCACTGATCATGCTTAAAAAGAAGAGTAATGGTTATGCTGTACAACCCATTTGGTTTCTAGAAAATAAGCAAGAAAGACTGAACCCTCAAAAGCCAAGCCCGGATTTCAAGCAGTTTCGCCTATTTTATTCCTATTTTCTTAGTTTTTACCTCTTGTCCTTTTTCTGTTCCAGTGGCCCATCCAGTGCCCCATGACATTTTAGTTGTAATTTAGGTTTTTAAAAATTACTAGCCCCAGGCAACTTGGATTAAAAGCATTTTATTTCCAAGCAGATCTCCCTCCCTAAATGAATGCATTCTCCAAGGACTTCAAATCAGCACTCACAGTTAAACCCCTTTATCTAGATAACTGGCATTACCAGAGGATGGAGGGGGCCTCTGCAGGTTTCTGATCAGCCCTGGGGGCGGGGCAGAATCACTGGTCATCTCTGCCAGGAGTCCTATCTCAAGGAGCTCTTTTCTGCTGTGCCGCATCTACATAATTCAATCCCATCTGCAGGATTAAAACCCCCTGCAGGGAAATGCAAGGTAGTTCTAAGGCCGGGAAATTCTGTTTCCAGAACACTAGCAGGGGTGGAAGGAATGAAGACACAGGCCTAGCAACTACTCCAAGGTCACAAACAACTTTTTCCATCAACATGAATATTCTTTTTTAAAAAAATTTATTTACTTATTTTGAGAGACGGAGGGGTGGGGTGGGGAAGAGAGAATGTGAGTTCCGAAGGGGCAGAGAAAGAGGGAGAAAGAGGGACTCCCAGGCAGGCTCTGTGCTGTCAGTGCGGAGGCCGACTCAGGCAGGGCTCAGGGCTCGAACTCACCAACTGTGAGATCATGACATAAACCAAAATTGATTAACTGACTGAGCCACCCAGGCGCCCCTGGGTATTCTTATTTGGGAGGAAAAAAAAAAATCAAAATATACGAGAGGGTTACATGTATTTAGATGACATCTCCAATTAGGTACTTAAGTGTTTTTCAAAAAAAATTTTTGGCTGTGACCAACACCAAGAAAAACATCTTTCCATCACAACTAAAAACATGTACACATAGGGGCGCCTGGGTGGCTTAGTCGGTTAAGCGTCCGACTTTCGCTTAGGTCATGATCTCGCGGTTCGTGGGTTCGAGCCCCGCGTCGGGCTCTGTGCTGACTGCCAGCTCAGAGCCTGGAGCCTGTTTCAGTCTGTGACTCCCTCTCTCTCTGACCCTCCCCTGCTCCGCTGTCTCTCTCTCTCNGCCTGGAGCCTGTTTCAGTCTGTGACTCCCTCTCTCTCTGACCCTCCCCTGCTCACGCTGTCTCACTCTCTCTCCTAGAAATAAATAAAAAATTTTATAAAAAAAAAAAAAAAAAAAAAAACATGTACACATATATACCTGCCGGCATGGTAACTATACAAACAACAAAAAGCTTCTCAACAGTACAAACTCACAGGATAACATACACTTATTCTCTATTTCATCTTTTAAAATGCTTGTCAGGACTCCTAAGTTGATTCTGTCACCTACGGACAGGCCAGAACTGCAGTCCGAAAGCCCTGTTACAGAGCAGGGAGCACAGGGGGACTGCTGGGTTACAGTCTTTCTGAACATTTTTCTTACAAGAAAAAAGGCATTCATCACAATGTACTAAAATTCTGGACTCCCAAACATTAATGAAAGCAAATAAACAGATTATTAATATAGTTGCTTCATATGGTGCAAAACATTATTCAATCCAAAGTTCCAGATTTTTCAGAGGAAATAAAATCTTAAATCTCAAGCTGTTTATGGGTCCTCAGAGAATACTGCC